TTTTTATCGTTTAGCTTTACTCCAGAAGTTGGGAACATTGGTTACAAACACATCAAGGATATTTTGGAGACGAGTCGGAAGATTCACAATCTGTACTAACGAATGGTAATTTAGCAATGTCTTTATCGCCAATTGGTTAATGTCACCAGCTATGATTAGTTCCGCGTTGGGCGCTAATGATAATAATCTCTCACATGAGTCCATTAGGAAATCAAGGAGATCATCAGGATGGTATTCAGGAGATGGAGGATGATATATTGCTGATAAGTAAAATATCGAGTTATTGGTTGTTATTTTAGTCCATAGACATTCATAAGGATTCGAAAATGCTTCCAAAATTTCGAGTTTCCAATCGTGCCTAAAAAAGACTGCTACACCACCACCTTGCCTACCATATGGTCTGTCTTTCCGTATCACAGTGAAACCGTCAGGGCTTACCACTTGACTGGGAATGGTAGATTTTAGCCAAGTTTCTGTCACAATACCCAGATCTACATTGTGACTATTCAATTCTAAGTACAATGCCGAGCAAGCGTCAGGTTTAGCTAAGGATCTCGCATTAATTACAATACACGTAGGAATAGAGCGACTCTCTGGTGGTCCTGGTTTACAAACATGAATAGTTATCAAATTATTCGAATTGCGTGGCGGTGGATTATAAGATAAATTAGTGAATATGTCATCGTTAGTACGTAGGTTTTCACCTATACTAGGGTTCCAAGTTGGTCCAAAGTTTGGTTGACCGATTGTAGGTAAGCCTTCCAGGAGTTGTGATTTTCGAGTTGTGATGCTGGCTTTGATTCTGGAGGGCGATTGGGATTCCCCGAGTCCCATAAAAAATACTCACTATTTCTCCTTCTGAATTTTTGCGGGTTGCGTTTAGCGCGTCTCCGAGTGGTGATTTTTACTGGTATAGCATACATTTCATTAGAAGCACTAGAATTAGTACTAACACTACTGTCATTAAGGGTAGTAGGATAAACCACATCGTTGCTAACTTCAATGACTTCTTTAGGGGGATTCACGCTTGCCTTTTTACTTATGCGACTTTGGCTAATATTGTGAGAAAAATCACATCTTGATCCCTTTAAACAATGTCCTTTCTTTAATAGGAATGGACATGCGACCAAATGCTTATAGGAATTCGCATTAACGTTTTTATTTATGCGAGTTTGATTAATGGAATGAGCCGTATCGTTGCGCACTTCGGCAACCTTATTAAGGAGATTAACGTACGCATTTTCACTCATGCAAAACTGACCAGCATTATTATTAAGATAGTTTTTGATCGTCATTCTTGGTTTGCGCACTAATGTCGACACAAACTGGATATTTTCTGACAAGCTCATCTTTTGATTGAGCAGAATCAAAAGTACATGTTTCTTCCAAATTTATGCTTGCATTAGAAGGTCTCAGTTGATCAATAATCGCTTCACTAGTTTTGATTCTGTCGTTAAATAAGGCTATTGTTTCATTCAATTCATCGACTTCGGTATTTCTTTCTCTCACAAACAAAGTCAAATCCGACTCAAGACGACTGTTTTTATCTTTTTCATGAGCAAGTTCTCGCTTAAGTTGGCTTACATTGGTACGTTCGGTCGCAAATTCAATCTCAAATTTCCGTTTTGTAAAATAACTAAATCAAGTTTTATCCCTTCAAACTCAGCAACCAGAATTCCGCAGCCACAACCACAATTATTATTATTTAGCTCCATATGCTCAGTCTGGCAATCATTATTGACAAAAGCGGAAGCTGAACGATGGATAGTTCTGCCTTGTATACTTTCAACCGGGGATGGGGAATCGATGGCTACATTCATATTTCTATCCGATAGGTTAGGAAAATCACACGCACTTGCAATATTTTGCTGCGAGAGTTTAATTTCATTGTAATCTGGCAAATGTGGCTTTAGCATGGACTGAGTTGCTTGTTCGCAAAGCAATATACATCGATCTCGCACCAAAACACCGTCTCTACCTTTAAAAAGCAAAGATTTTGCTTTACCTTTATGCCATGTGACAACTAAGTCAGAGTTTGTGCTAGAAATCTTCTTCGACTGGCCCCCAGGTGATGACCATTTGCCTTCAAGGCCCCACACAATTCGTTCTAAATTTGTTAAATCACCGGTCCACTTTAAACGTACTCCATCATAAGACATGCCAGGCAGTTTAGTGCAACTAGCACTAGTAATAAAGGAATTTAGACAACTATTCTCATTTGTATTAGCAACATTTTGATGGAGCCTATGAAGAGCACGTCCCATTATACGCTTTGAAGATCCCAGTCCTCACTGGCACTCTAAACGTACATGTTGAAAAAAACGTCGCTTGCATCAGCTTCCTATTCTAAAGGCGGATCTAAGCCGATACGCATCAGGGCGCTTATACAGTTATTTCAATTAAGGTTGTCCCCCGAGCAAAGCGGAAAAGTCGAATACAAGCGCGAAAGGCTGCTGTTATTCCCTACGATTCCCTGCAGCCTTTCGCGCTGGTATTTGAC